TTGATCCTGAAGGTGTCGATAACCGATCAAAAAGGGTTCTGAAGCGTCGCGTGTTCAACACCCCTGGCCCGAACTTCATTTGGTCTGCCGATGGCCACGACAAACTCAAGAAGTTCGGGATCACTCTCTATGGTTTTATTGATGCTTGGAGCCGGAAGATTTTGGGAATCTTTGTTCATGTCACCAACAACAACCCCCGACACATTGGATACTACTATCTCGAGCTTGTCAAACGTGAAGGTGGCATACCTCGCCGAACATCTACTGACAGGGGAACCGAAACAATCCACATGGCTGGCCACCAGATCAACCTCACCGAATCGTTCAATGCAGACTGCCCAGATCCAATTCAGTCACACCTGTTCACCAAGAGCACCCACAATCAGAAGATTGAGTGTCTATGGTCGCAGTTAATGAAGCAATACAACAGCGAGCTAATAAACCAACTCTTTCGGGCGGAGGAGGAATCGTACTACGATCCACAAGATCCTGTTGAGCAGTAAGTTTATTTATCCACAGCTTCTCTGGTTTGGTAATAAACTGACTAACATCGCATGCAACAAAAGTCTTTTATTTATTTACTTATGGGTTCCACTTCTGCAAGAAAGTCTCGATCAATGGACGAGTAACTATAACAATTACAAACGTCGATGGGACAAGAAGAGCATGCTCCCAACTCGATGTAGTGCAGAATGGTGCTATCAATATCCCTCGGAGGTCGGAGGCGAACAAGGATTGATTCCAGTGCCAATATCTGCTGCCGAGGCCTTACAGCAGGCATTCTATCCGGAGGGGACAGAATTAATGGAGACGTCTCCCAAATGGTTTGTGAAAGCAATCAAAGAGCTGGAAACCGGGATGCATCTCACAATACCTGTTGTCGACATTCACAACGTTTGGGAGGTGTTCTCTCTTGTTCTTGAAGCTATCCGTTCTTTTGACTCGTCTTGGCTTTCAGACCCTACCAATGACCCTTCTGAATCTTTCTCTCATCGTGCCGCATCCTTTGATGAATAATATGGTTTCTTTGTCGTATTCATGCCTTCGATTCAAAATGACATAATTTCTGAATTTGTTACATAAGTTACAAATAAGTATTGTCTTGAATGCAAGTATCTGATTGATTCTTTGTATTCAATAATCAATTTCAATTTGGGATGGATGATCAAGCAGTGGTAATTTATGTTTAAAATTGAAAATATGGAATTCATATGAAACAAAAGACATCGATGATAAGGGGGATGGTAAATAAAGAACACTTTAATGAAAAAGGTAACTATCAGGGAATCAGGATGGATATTTTTGGGATTTACATAAAGTCTTTTTATGTATCTCTTCAGGAGTAGCATCTTTTAATTTTTTAGCAACATTGGCAAGTCTCCTGTTGATTTGAAAAGAACAACCTTGGTGAGTCCAGGGGCGTTCTGGATCATTTTGAGAAGAAAGGGAAGGAGGAGGAGGAGTTGTACAATGTTCAAACTTGGTAGTCTGCCAAACAAGTTCAACAATGCCATTAGATTTTACAAAGTCAATCAGATAAGCATGCCTTGGAAATAAAAATCCATGACCTAATTCGGAGGAAGGAGGAGGAATGGGCCTCCCAGTTGACTTATCAATATGAGCAAATATACCATAGGTCCATCCATTTAAGTCGTTCTCATCTTGATGGGCTTGGTTGTAGAAATCGTTATATGTGACGGAAACATTTGCAGCAAATTTGAGGTGTTCACGATCTTCATTCTTCATTTCAGTCCACTCCTCCTGAGTCCAATTAGGGATTCCGTATTCTTGCATCAGGGCTTGATTTTCCAGGAAGGCGGTTCGAGAGAGAGCTTCCATCCTGCCAGCAAGGAAGTCGTTGTGGGATTGCAGCTTGGCCCAGTTTGCATCGTCTTCAGCAGTTTGTTCAGGGGTGAGTTTTTTGCGTACATAAGTACCTAGGACAATAATTAATGAATGATCATGAGTATAGCTTATGGGATTACTTAGGGCATCATTGGGAAAAAAATGCAATTCGGACATACCTCCAGACTTGCCATCATCATTTCCTGGGCGGAATCCTATCAGATGCATTTCACCATTGAGTCGTTTGGTATTTCGTTTGTTATGGGGGCGATATCTGGCCATGGCATGGAGCGTTTGGATCACATCGCAGAGTTTGTCGAATATTGGAGTAGATGGAGATGTTTGGAAGGAATGATACTCTAGGATGAAGTGAGGTACAAGGCCTGATGAAAGTGCGATTTGACGGGAGGGTTTATCTGTTTTAGGCAAGTATTGAATTGGTTTGTGGGAGACTTTTTCTTCAGAAGGGGAGCAGAGAAAGAAATATGTATTCTCCGTAGAGCCGAATTTTCTTTCGAGACTAGCAATCTTCTTTGCAGTACCAGTTGGATATTGAGGCGGAGGGTTGCGAGGCTTTGATGTTCGAATACCATGATCCGGATGTCTAGGCTTAC